CAATTATATTTTGCTCTATTTTTTAGGTAAATAAATCACATATTGGCTTAAGTGAACTTCAGCAGCAATGTATCATTGTAGTCGAGGCAGTGAAGCACTAAAAAGGCCAAAAGTTCGGTATTTTTTAGACTAAGAGAGATCGGAATGCGGCTTTTTAACACGCTTATATTAGCTTTACCTGTATGTTTGTAACTCTCCTTTGAACTCAAGTGGCTTATTGCTGTCAGTATATCCCACTATGTCAAGTTCCTTTGTTGGCCGAGCGGTCTAAGGCGCGGGTTTTCGATTGCCAGACTCACCGATCGTGGGTTCTAATCCCCACGGCTGAAAAAAAATATTTTTAGCTGTGGGGCGCTTTGTCCATATTTCTCGTACATCGAGCGCCCGACGCTTTTTTCACAATAATGCTAGTATTTTCTATTTAATAATGTTTTAAGCTTATTTGAATAAAAGCATGTTAAAAAAAATATTTTTAACTTTGATATGCTCTAAAAGCGTGTTTTTTTAGTTTTTTTAAACTATATTTATTGCATATTAACTCCATCGCCTGGGAGACATTTCTTGTCTTTCTTTTCATCATAACAAAACATAGACTGCTTTAAGACTACTAACACAAAAGTCAAACAAAAATCGACGAGCTTGAGTCAAAAATAGCAATTTTCAAATAATCCTAATACGCGTCAAAAAGAGGTACAAAAGATAGTGTTGTATGAAAGCTATATAATAAATATCACACTCACTCTAAACCTACATGGACCGTATTTCTCTTAAATTAGTTAAAAATTAAATATGCCCGGATCAAAAGGACCGTACATGGCTAGAAGCAATTTCCAATCTAGAGTTTGTTTCATGTCGTTGCCACCGAAAACAAAAACAAGCCACATCGAAAGGGTCTAAACAGAGATAAAGGTAGAATTTTTAATTAAAAAGGTCCCGAAGATCCTAATATAATTATTATGTCCTGTGAAGTTGGGCTAGAGAGTGGAAGTGTGTCGGTGAATGCTTAACAGTAATGAGAATCTAGGCTGTTTCGGAGCAAATCCTTTGAGGGCCAACACCGTAGTTTTTTCCTGCCGATTTGGGTTAAACTGAGATCTTAATTTAGATAAATGGTTAACAAACGTTTCGTTTAAACAAATTTCTCTAAAATAGGTTAAAAATAAAAAAATTGATTAGGTAAAACGTTTTTGATAATAAGCAGATCTTAGAAACCCTAGATACAACATAGTATTATGTATTTTTGACACTATTGACGAGATAAAATCATTGCTAGGTTAGTGCTAACCATTTTTGGTTTATATGTTGTGATAAAAAACATTAATTTAATAACACTATTTTAGGAGGAATTCAAAAACATCTTATTATAAACTTGAAAGTAACAATGTGTTTTACGGTAAAAGAAATAAATAAGGAGTACAGTTTTAACATACATGGTGATCCACTTATACTCTGCAGTTTGATTTCTTCGTTGTTTAATGTATTATTAGTAGTTACAAATACTCCAAATACAAGTATACGAGTCATTTCCAAGGAACAAGAAAGGTATGGAAGTGTGCAAAAAATATTGTCAAACAATAAGATGCACCCATATCTAATTCAGTTACACCAGGAATTATTGGATGATGATTTTCGGCGAAGAACAAAATTTTGTAATTGGGCACTAGCGTGTTTCATTTTTCCAAAGATGTTATTTTCATACGACTTTGCTTTGCTCTAAGTGATAAAAAACAATACTAACTGTACTTTCCACATTCATTTAAACAATTAAGAATGTGAAAAAATATTTCAATAAATTTTTTGAAAAATTTCTCAGAAATATTTTATTTGACATTACAAGGCACTCCTGTCAGATCAATATTTAAAAAGTTGGCATTTAGACATCACGTTTCTCGGGTTGTTGATGTTGTCATGGTAACTTTAAAACACACGCGTTTTTTAAAGTTCGTTTTAAACACGCTGAGGCGTACTTTAAATAAGTAAAATTGGTTACCAATAAAAAAAAATATATGCCAAATTTCAAGAAGATTGGATAATATTTAAGGGTTGCACACATTGATCACTTTTATCACAAACTGGTCAAATTTCTAATATTGACTTGTTTTGTACTAGTGATCTTTGATCTATACATGTATTTGTTTCATCTTTTGCAGGTATTTGAGCTTTAACACTTTGACTGCCATGTGTATCTTTAAGTATACACAGTGGCCAGTCCCAACGCACCACGTGTATGTTCAAGTACAATTACTTTTTTGGGCCATATATAGTCTACAGTAGCATGTTTCGCATGCATTTCCTATGGGATACGATTTAGCGTGGCGAGGGGCAATAACAAAATGGATTTAAAATTTTTTTTAAATTTTATGACCATTTAATTATTTAGTTATTTTTTGTTGTGTTGCAATAAAAAAAACACAGCGGTAACTTAACACAGGGAACTTGATTTAGCTAAACATGAACACTCAATAGAAGAAAAATTGGAAGGAAATTTGAAGAGACGCTTTTTAAAAATCCTCTTCCTTTGATCTTGCATTGGGATAGTAAATTGTTGCCCTCAGTTGCCCATAGGAATGTCAAAACTTTGGAAGACAGAGTTGCAGTTCTAGTGACTGGCAAAGATTTTGAGCATTTCCTTGGAGTACCTGTTGTCCAGAAAGGCACCAGTGAGAAGATGGCCAAAGTAGTTATTCGGGAAGTGCACCAATTTGGGCTGAGTAACAATATCATCAGTATGTCTTTTGATACTACATTGTCTAATACAGGACTGACTCAAGGGGCATGTACCAGAATTTAAAAGAAATTAGAACTAACATTGTTGTGGTTGGCTTGCCGTCATCACACTCATGAACTAATATTAAAAGAAGTGTTTGAGGAGTGTTGTAACATACCATCAAGTGGTCCTGACATCCATATCTTTCGAAAGTTCCAAAATATGTGGACTTCACTTGATAAAAAGTCATATACGACAATGCTGGATGAGGAACGTCCCGTTCAAGGCTTTATAAAAGAACGAGTGAAAATGATTAACTACTTACAAAATGTCCTAAAATTTATCCAAGAGAAGAGTACAAAAAGTTATTACAACTATCACTTTAGTACCTAGGAGGTTGGTCTCAAGACGAACTCAGTTTCAGGATCCTAGGAACTCTGCATCAAGGAAGGTGGATGGCAAAAACAATTTATGCACTTAAAATTGTTCTCTTCACCAAACAGTTGAATATGCCTCAACGAGAATTGAAAGGAATGAAAAGGGTTGCACATTTTGTCAGCCTCATATATGTTTGCTTTTGGCACGAAGCAATTGTAAATCGATAGGCTCCAAAAAATGATTTGGATATACTGCAGCCTCTGAATATTTCCCAGATATAGACGTCAAAAAAGTGCTCTTACTGTTGCTAAGAGAGACCTGTGATATCTGTTGATATTTTTTGCATACAAAACTGGTCAAAGTGTGCAACCTCTAAATATTGTCGAATCTTGAAATTTTGAATACATATTTTTTACATCACTGACACTCGGGGCGTAAGCAAAGTCTGCAAAAAATTTACATTTAATTTTTTACTTACAAAATAAAACACCCTATTGGACACAAATTCATGATCAAAGAGATTTTTTTGATTATGTACTTTTTGGAGATGAGTCGACATTCCATAAAATTGGTTTATTAAATCGATATAATTTTCACTATTATGCCAGAGAAAATCCTTATGCGATAGTAACTACTTCTCAAACAAGATGGTCTTTAAATGTTTGGGGTGGTATTGTTGATGATTATGTAATTGGACTATATTTTTTTGAGGAAACAGTTAGCAGTGAAGTTTATTTAGACTCCTTGGGGGAATCAATTACCTATACTTCTTGAAAATGTTCTTCTTTGTATACGTCAGCAAATGTGGTATCTACATGAAGGGGCTCCAATACATCATAATGCAGTAATTCATGGTCAACTTGAAGATCAATTTTCAGAACGATGAATAGGTAGGGAAAGACCAATTGAGTGGTCAGCGGGATCGCCAGATCTAACAAAAGTTGATTTTTTTCTGTGGGGTTATGTGAAAAATGAGGTGTATTAAATACCTGTAACTACAAAAAGGGGACAAGAAAATTAAAATTAGGGTTGTTTTCCAAAACATTAGTATTCCAATGGCTAGAAATGTGGGGAGGTCATTTGAATATCCGATACAACCATGTTTAAATGTAATGAGAGGTCATTTTGAGCAGTTATTGTAATTATTTTGTTCCAAGTACTATTTCGAATTTTTTATTTAGTCAATAGCTGTCAATTGCCAACTCAACGAAACTTAATATTTACCAAAAATATCGTTTTAATGACAGTTTTATATGTTTACTACTGAAGTTGTTATTATTATTATTATTTTTAGTCAACTAATAACGTCTGTTTAGTAATGTAGGATATAGGGTATTGTCAAAGAATCTGTTTACTATACAAAGAACCATTTGATACTTTTTTGGAATTGAAAAAATATACTGTGTCCCAGATTGATGCTGCAAGTATTGCTATCTCAGTTACTGCTTTTGGTTTTTGAAATAATTCCGAAAAACCAAAATGGTAAATTTTTGACAAACCCCATAACTCAGTTCTTTGATAATAAACCGTATTTAGGTTTAGACACTTTGTTAAGGTTTTGTATTAAAAAATTAAACAAAAAATCTCTTACCATTTTCGAAATAATGATTATAACTGTAATTTTTCTTCTGGATGCCACCTAGGATTTTTATTGTATTACATAGCATTTTTATCGCCTTTTAAAAATCTATCATACAATGGCATTTTCTTTCAAAAAAAATGCTGAAATCAATAAATGTTGCTGCTCTGATTGATACGGTCTAGTAGGCGAGCCCACAATTTGTTAGAACTAACTGTCAAATTATATTTTTTTTTGCAAATTTAACATTGAAAATTATTAATTACAAATAATAGGTTAATAATTTATTTACAAAGTTATTAAATATAAAAAAATCGAATTAATACACAATGTCATTAAAAAACTTTATTTATTTCCATTAATTTTGTTATTTGTATTTGTTTCTTCGTCGAAAAGTGTTATATTTTCAAAAATATCGTTAATTATCTTTCTTGATTGTTCCCTATTTGTGAAAAACTTCTTATCTATCCCAATAGAAACATGCAATTCGTTATCGTATGTAAAGAAAGTTCCAAACAATCCTAAAAAGAGAATTATTGGTTTTATTTTTATTTTTATACGGTTTACACATTGCCTAATTTTCCTAAACTATAAATATTGACTTTTTTATGGTATAGCTCAGGAATATTTTTGAATTTTTTGGAAAATACCTAAATCAAATAAAATATAAAAAAAATAGGTAAAAATATGTTGATAATAATAAATGAATGAATTTTAGCTTTACTGACAATATAAAAAAATAGTTACCCAGAGTAGTATATTGGGGCGGCACAAAATAAATATGTTCAATATCGAACCCAACAACACCATTCAATTTTGGACAACCTGGTAAATTACTAAAGCACATAGCTAGATTCTCCAATTTTTCCAGTGGAAGTACAAAATATGCTGACCAAAGTCCACATAAATAATTCCAACAAAAGTGACGCACCTAAAACAAATTAATAGCAAATTTTCAATAAATCGAAATTTGGATATTTGTGCAAATTACCTGAAAGTCAATGATGTTTCTTGTAGACCTTCTGTACTTTTTTACTTCTTTTAACCTAGTTAGTAGGCTATCTGATTTTACTAATATAGGTATAGGAAATCGTAGTACTGAATAACTATTGGTTAATTGTGTTTGTTCTGAATTTTTCGGTATGGATGATATAAAAGGTAGTACTTGGATAGCTACATCAGGAATGTCCAATTTAGCCTAAAAATTATAATGATACTTAATTAAAAATAAAAATAAAATTAGTGTTATTTTATATTTCTGCAAAGTACTGATAAATTAAGTAGTACCATATTGTGTACTATGAAAAATATGGTACAACCTTAGATTAAAGAGACCGGATATGTTACATTGCACATAACGCATGTTGTCTATTCCAACCTTAAGTAACCCACCAATTAAAAATCATTGTTTCCACGACGCCACCCGAATTGCTCCGACATTTCTATTCTACGCTCATCTCCGCGTGAGTGAATCATCATGGACCGCCGTTTTTTGAATATTAGATTAAATAGAGGATGACACTTAAAATTTCATGGTTCATCTTATTTGCGGTCAAATCGGAAGTGACGTTTGAAACTTTTAAGTCTTAAAACAAAGTAAAACGCACAATGTGATCTAGCATAAGCAAAAAAATACTAAATTTACGGGAGTTACGATGTTAGTTCACATTGTAAATAAAATGTTATTAACCCCTAAACAACCAAAAAAAAAAAAATTATTAAAAAATCTAAATTCTTGCAATATGTATTATTTAATACACAATCGAATGCGGTTTTGAAGATAACGGGATCAAAAAATCTGAATATCTAAATTTTGGAGATAAATGCTCGGATAAAAGCAAGCGACCGATAGGGGTTACAAAAATAATCGATTATTCTGATTTTTTATGAAAATCGATTTATCCGTTATAATTAATCGATTATTTTTGAATATTCGAATATTTTCAATAAATTATTTTAATTTTTTCAAAGATAATGGTATAATCGATTTTAAAGGAATTAAAAAAAGAAAATAAATTTATTGAAAATGATCGATTGATTAAAAAAATCAAAAATAATCAATTTTTTTTTAGAAAAATAGATTTATTGTTTAATAGACTTTTTTAATTTTTCAAAGGTATTCGAATAATTTATTTTAAAGGAAATGCTAAAAAATAGATTACATGAAAATAATCGATTGACCGCATATAATCGGTTATTTTATATACTAAGTTACATAGAAAACAGAGCACCCAGTATTAATGAATTTATTACAATAATTTTTAGTTTACATGTGTCTTTGGGTTAGTTAAGTAATTGATCAAAATGTAAGAAAAATCCAACCGTTGGAAAAAAGTAAAAAATTAATAGTGTGTTGGTCCTCCACGATGTCTAATGCACTCAGAAACACATCGGGGCATACTCCTAATAAGATGGTCGATTTCCTCTTGAGGTATCTCATCCCAGGCAACTTGTACCTCATGCTGAAGTGCCGCTAGAGTCTGATGAGGATGGGGTAAATGGAATAATCTTCTTCCCATAATGTCCCAGACGTGTTCTATGGGTGAAAGATCGGGAGATCTAGGGGGCCAAGGCAACAAATCGACTTGATTTTCTTCAAAATGGGCCAACGTAATTCTGGCTACATGTGGTCGTGCATTATCTTGTTGGAAAAGTGGGTTAGGGAGCGTCCGAATATAAGGCAGAACATATGGTTCCACCACCTCCTGGATGTAACGCACGGCGGTCATGTTGCCTCTGATGAATACCAAAGGTGACCTACTTCCATAAGTAATGGCCCCCCATACCATAATACCGACAGTGTGGTGCACATGCCTTTCCACGAAAAATTGAGGATCTCGTCTTTCACTACGCCGCCTTATCACCCTTGCACGTCCATCATGCATGCCCAAACAGAATCTGGATTCATCACTAAAGACAATGGTATTCCATTCATGGTCCCAGTTCAGCCGTTCTCTGCACCAAGCCAGTCGATTAATTCGGTGCCTAGGAGTGAGAGGTAGGACAAACTGAGGACGGTATGACGTAAGTCCGAAACTTCTGATACGGCGATAAACAGTTCGCATTGTTATTGGCCTGCCATGTTCTGCAAACCATTGGTCAGCAATTGACCTTGTGGACGAGAAGGTCCTGTAGAGCCAAAAGCCTAAGGCGGCGATCTTGGAGTGGGGCCGTTCTTCTGACACGTCCTGTACCTCTAGCTCTTCGTGTACGGCCTTCTTGATTCCTTACCCGACAACAAACCACCACCGTATTTACACTTCTGTGCATCCTCGTGGCTATTTCTCTGAAGGACAAACCAGCCTCGCGTAAGCCCACTATTCGCCCCCTATCAAACTCGCTAAGCTGTAGAAAATTTTCTCGTCTTCTCACTCTAGGCATGATAAATAAATCAAAAAAGCTCTTCACAAAGTATTGTACGACGATCAAATGCGAATTGTAGCTAGAAAACACAATTATCGCGTCTTACTTTTTTGTGAGAACAGGACGATAACACAAAAACCACTCTATCGATATGGCTGAAAAACTGATCGTTTTTTATTCTAACTTAAACAAACATATTCCTAGAAATTTTTTGTAATAAATTCATTAATACTGGGTGTTCTGTTTTCTATGTCACTTAGTATATAATCGATATTTCTGATATTTTTTAGAATTATCTATAAATGGATTATTTTAGATTTTTTAAAGACAGAATAATCAGTTTTATACGAAATATGAAAAAAAAAAAAATTAATTTATTTTAAATAGTCGGTAATTCAGTTTTTTTTTAATGGATTAATCGGTTAGTCAATTTTAATTAACACGTTCACTACCACCAATATTTTGCTTGCGTTTATCTCAAGCCAACTGCAATAACTTTTGAACCACTAGGAATTTTTTGGTAATTCAAATAGCTGCACATTCACTTTGATCTTCACAACAAGATTCCGCCATTTTGTTTTAGAGCTACTAAAGTGACACAAATGAAGGTGCCATTCTGCAAAACATGGCATAACATATAATTCAGGTTGATCATCACATTGTGGGCAATAATACTTTAACCTCTTTCTTACATTTCTTTTCGAGCACCACCTGCATCTTTATAGTATTCTTTTCTCCAACATTCTCAGCCGGATAGTGGTGTGACTGGAAATCTGTGGCTTGTTTTGGTTTGAGAAGTTCGTTCAAAACTTCTTCTCGAAACTCTAAAAGGGTTTTTTTGGTTTGGTGTTTCTTTTTGTAGAGGAAACAAGCATTCCAAATGCAGATATCCACCAAATTAAAAAATATTTTTCGATACCATTTTATTGTATTTCTTGGACTGGAATAATATGACATTAGCTGGTCAAATCTGTCAACTCCCAACATATGGGCACTATAATCTAGAACACATTGTGGTTTTAGATTTTCGTGGCCTCTTTTTGTTGTTATTTTAACCATCTTATGTTTGTGTCAAGTGGTTATCATTCTAACGTCCCTCTTATCTTTCCATTTAGTTACAACAGTTTTTTCTTTGCGTTTCCCGACAGCTTTCCCTATTTGTAGCTTTTTGTTGATCATTTTTTTTAGAATTTTCTTTTCTGTTAACTCTCAGAGTACCAACCATTCCAGTATTTTGCGAGAGCAAAAATTCGGCAAGTGAGACACTAGTATAAAAGTTGTCTACATACAGTATGAGATCTTTGCCCAAAAAACTTTCCAAAAGTTGTTTCACAACCGATGTAGCATGAGATTCATTTTCATCGGCCAAGGTTCCATTATCCACATAAACAATTATATTTAGGATAAATCTACTATTAGTGGGTAACTCGTAGAGTTTGATGCCATATTTATGTCTCTTGTTGGGTATGTATTGGCAAAAACTCAGTCTTCCTCGCCATAATATCCCTTCCTTATCAATGCTCAAATGTTGCCTTGGAGTGTAAGTGGATTTTATATTTGAAAGTACTTTTTCCAAAATTGGTCGTATTTTGAAGAGACGATCTGCAGTATTAGCAGTAGAATGATTAACAAACCTCAACATTCTCGAAAATGTATTCTGAGACATGGTTTGCCTGAAAACGGGATGAAAATACAACGAATGCTTACTCCACTGTTTTCCCAAAGTAGGAAAGCGGATAATACCACTAAGGCAGCATAAGCTTAGCAACCTTTTCATTTCTTCAACACATGTATCCTGCCATTGTAGTCGTTTTTTTTTTTTCGGCTAGATACTGGCTGTTTTATCAAAAAATTCTCTGGCTCGTCTGTTTGTTTCATGGACAATTATCTCTTGATGGTGTTATCAAAAAACGGCTGGAAATATTGTAAGGCCGAAGCATTTTCCGGAATGTCTATACTTATAGACTCCTTTGTCGTGAAAGAAAACGTTATGGGATCTTCTTCTGTGTCAGTCCACTCATCAGAATTGTCTAGGGTCTGGAATAATTTCGTGAAGAGTTTGAAATACTAATCACATTGTCATCTGCATCGCTTTGTGATTCTTGGTCGCTGTTACTAGACGCTAAACTTGAAGAATCATGTGGTTCGTAGTTTCTGTCAGCTTGATCTTCGGCATCTTCGAACAAATCCGACCAGTTCGACATATTTTGTGACTCTTTTAAATCAGATAGAGTCAACGGACGCTTTGAGTTTCTTTTTTTCGACCCACTAAAAAATGCATAACCTCAAAAACTTGTACCAATAGACTAATAAATTAATTTTTACCTTACTTTTTCAGTGGAATCCATGTTTTGTAACAAAACTGATAGTTAAAACAACGTCTTCACACAAAAGACTCATCAAAACCTTATTTTGTAATAAAAAACACAATAAAAAATGCACTTGTTCGACTGAAAACAAAACCACACTCAGCAAACCAACAGCCACTTAAGTGGCCATTAGCGCACATCTAACTTCGCGATAGACCGAAGAAACCATACGCACCACCACTGGTAGCCCAGTTAGTATCTTTATTGCATAAAAATGTGTTTCAATTCACAGCCAGTATAGTGGCCGGCGGTAGTGAACGTGTTAATCGATTAATTTCGATTTTTCAAAGGTAATCGAATAATTAAGTTTAAAAGAAATATAAAAAAAAAGATTATTTGAAAATAATCGATATTTCAGTTATTTTTTTGGAAAATCCATTTTTTTTGCAGAATCGGCTTCTTAATTAATCGAATATTTTCGATTAATCGATTATTTTCGATTCATTGATTATTTTCTATTTATCGA